CTAGGTTCTCCTTAGGACTTTTCTAGGATCTCTCTAAGATCTCTCTAGGAACTCTCTAGAATCTATCTAGGACTTATGTAAGACCTATCCCCCAGACCTCTTTTGCACCTTAGTAAGACTCCTCTAGGATCTTTCTAGGCGCTCTCTTGGAGTTTTCTAGGATCACTTTAGGACTTATCGAGAACTTCTTTAGGATCCCTCTAAAATCTCTTTAGGAACTCTCTTGGATCTCTCTAGGACCTATGTAGGCCCTCTTTTGCACATTTTTAGGACTCCTTTAGAACTTTTCTAGATGCTCTCTTGGATTTTTTTAGGTTCTCCTTAGGACCTATCGAGGACTTTTTTAGGATCCCTCTAAAATCTCTTTAGGAACTCTCTTGGACCTCTCTAGGACCTAGACAGGACCTATGTCGGACCTCTTTGCACCTTTATAGTACTCCTTTAGGACCTTTCTAGGTGTTGTCTTGGAGTTTTCTAAATTCTCCTTAGGACCCATCGAGGACTTTTCTAAGATCCCTCCAAGATTTCCCTAGGTACTTTCATGGATCTCTCTAGGACCTGTGTAAGACCTATCTTGGACCTTTTTTGCACCTTTATAGGACTCCTCTAGGACCTTTGTAGGATCTCTTTAGGATCTCTACAGAATCTTCTTGAATCTCTCTAGAGGTACTTAGGTCCTATTTAGGACCTATTCAGTACCTATCTAGGACGTATTTAGGACTCCAATGGCTCCCGGATCATTGAAATCGCCGAAGAGCCCAGAACTATCGCCGTCGAACAATCTATTCGTACATATTGAAACAGGTCCACAAACCCACTCGCCGATTATAGGACTCCTCTAGGACCTTTCTAGGATCTCTTTAGGACCTATCGAGAATTTTCCTAGGATTTCTTTGGGATCTCTCTAGAGCCTCTCTTGAATCCCTCTAGTGCTACCTAGGCCCCATTTAGGACCTATTCAGTATCTATCTAGGACGTATTTAGAACCCGAATGGCTCCCAGATCACCGAAATCGCCGAAAAGTCCAGAACTATCGCCGTTGAACAGTCTATCCATATACATCGAGACAGGTCCACAATCCCACTCGCCGATTCGACCGCGGTCCATTGACTTTGGCCGGTTTTCATTCCTCGGTTCAGGATTGCGGTAACGTCGCCCCCGCCTCGGGCCCGTCCGGCCCAAATCCCCGCGTTCCGCTCCAAACTATCGTTCCGGCGTCGATGCACCCCGGGCCCGGCTGGTTCACTTTCATCGATACGGATTGCTTATCCGGGCCGGGCCGGGCCCGTTGCCGTTCAGCGAGCACATTGTGCAAGAAGAGGGTATCGCGAATCTCGGAAACTATTCGGTGCCTGGTGCCGGGCCGCTTATTGCGCGATCTTTTACAATCGGTCACGTGCACATGCATACGCGGCGGCCCACCACACCGGCCGGATCTGGTTTCGGTGATTAAAATTTATCCGCTGACGCGGCCCGCGCCTTTCTTCTCCCCTCCAAGCGCCTCCCTTGCCGAACGTGCGTCACAAGTTTCCTCAAGTATCCGGCGAATTTTTCGCAGCGGCTGCTCAGCTATCTATCGATTACTTTCCTTCTCATTTTTTCACATTTTTTAGCTGCCTTCTTTTTTCTCGTTATTTTTCCGTCTTTATTGTCCCGCTTCTATCGTTTTGCACAGTGGACGATATTTATTTATGACACAGGTTGCATTGAACTTAAGATTTTGTGCAGCTATCGCTGCAATTAGTGCTGCAACTTGGTCTCAGTAGAGGAAATGAAAGAATTTTGAGGTTATACCAAATTTTTTGAGGTTATACTTGCTGCTGGAGGATACTGGATTTGCCAGATTTGTTTAAATAATTATAACTGTGTAATTGTTTTTTTTGTGTTAAACTTGTGTGTCGAACAAGATATTTCTTTGATAAACATTGGCAAGATTGTTCGTGATGTAAGTGGATTATTTTTCTATTTCCTCGTCAGTTTAATCCGACGTAGACCTAACCTAGATCTAACCTAGACCTAACTGCGTTATATGGGAGTCCGCTATATCTTTCTGTCTACAGCGCTCGCTATTTTTGTTACTTGAGTAAATATTATACAAAATACTGGTTTTAAAAAAATACTGGTTTTAAACATTCTCCTTAAAGCATGGAATAAAATAAATATTATGAAATGTATATAACTCTAGCAACGTGTAAAATGCAGAAAATAGTAATTGGCATTATTATTATTATTATTATTATAATTTTTGGAGAATTTTCTACAATATTAAGAAAGTTGATTTTGAATATAAAAAGTTCAAAACTGCAGCTTTATCTCGCGTTTAATCCCCTACTTCTCTTTTCAGTTATCTTTTGATTATTATTTTCTTTGTTCTTTCGTATTTATTTTCCACTGCGACAAATCTACGAATATTTATTTCGTCAACTTCATCGAAAGTTCATCATCTTATTCTCTCATTTTGATCGTCAACAATTCAGCGATTCGCTTCATCCACCTTTCGAGATTTGTTCGTTCGAAAATGGCGTCGTCGCGCCTGTGATATGCAACTGCGCTTGTTTCACCTGGAAAGTTCGTTTACTTTCGCTAAACTCGCCCGTTACTGCCATCTGGCGATAAACTCAGAACGATGAAAATAGATTACAGTTTTCTGTTTGTACAATTATGTTCGCGTGATCGAGGACACAGTAATCGGAGACAATGGACGAGAGCGAAAATATTCTGCGTTCTGCAAGATTTCTTTCGATTGGGTGAAAATTTTTGCAATTTTCAGCGATTAGTGTCCCGTGGGAATGATTTCAGTTCTTGCTGGAGCGTGTAAAGAAGAATCAATCTTCAGGGGCATCCGATCACCGACGATGCGTCTTGGATCATCGGGAACGTCTAGACCTTTCCTATCAACTTTCTGTCAGATCTCTCATTCTCTATTCAAATTATTAAAAATTCTAAACAACAATATTCTACGTTCGTTCACATCTTGTCCATCGCATTTACGACGAGTCACTCGCTCCTCGAAGCTGCTAAAAATTCCGAAGGACAACATTCTCATCGCCACTCGAACGATTCGGAGTCCTTTCGACTGCAACACCGGCAGCAAGAAATCCTCCGGCTCTCACTCAAGCAGGTAAACGTTGTGTCGAATGATTCGATCGAAATTCATTTGCACTGTAACAGCTGTTTTTATCGGAACGAGACAGTCCGCTTTCAATTTGATTTCTCAACGAAGTGACTAGATCGAAACGGCTGCGGAAAGCATGCAACAGATGTGCTTGTTTCGTACGCCGATTGGTTGGCAAGAAAGTAATTTCGGTTTTCGAACAGCAATTACAACGCCCTCTATGCGTGACAACCGAAAATACTTTTTTGCCAAACCGATACACTTCGCAAGTTGACGGTTTCTAGAAGAAAAACAGTCGGAGAAAATGTCCGTCGAAGCACGGCCAGTGTCAACATTTCCCGGACAGGATAATTTGAATTGCTACCAGCAACGAGTTAACCAATCTACGCCGGTAATGAACGTGCAGTGATCGCGCGGTTCGTTAGTTCCGTCATGGAAATGTAGCAAAAAGCAAAGGCCGGTAGTGGCAAGCGTGAGGTGGCAAGAAAAATCGAAGCCGTTCCCTCGTGGCCGATGAAAGCTATTGCCCCGCTGCGCCGCAGCAACCGCTTGGTTTTCGTTTACGGAGGGAGCGTTTCTTGTCCAGACAAGATGGCCGGCCTCTAGAAGCAGAACCTAGTCACGCAAATTATTTCGTGAAGACGATTTCTCTACTTTGAACGCACACGGCCAAAGCGGCCCGGCTCGTTCGTTCGTCGAACAATTTACTCGGTGATCTGAACGAATCGCGTGATCAACGATCTACACTGTTTAGCATAACTATAGCACCAAGTGTATTTTTGACATTGCGGAATTTTCGGGAAATACATCAGGAATAGTAAGTGCGTAAACACGTTTTGGAACTGATCAGTGTGTTAGGGATTTAACCTAAAAGTGGCGTCTTCAATTTTTTTTAAGTGTGTTAGACCTAACATAGCGTTATGTACTGCATTAGTGTTATGTAACGCTTAATTTATTTAGTTGAGTCTAGAAAAATTCTTTTAAACAGTTTATCGTGTTTGAGATGTAACCTATACCTAACCTAGCCCTAATCTGGACCTAACGCTTTAAATTTAGTTTACCCGAGTTTGAAACAAAATAGACTAGTATTATGCGACTCCTAATTTATTTGGTTACGTCTAGAAAAATTGTTTTAAACTGTTTTTCGTGTTTGAGACCTAACCTATACCAAACCTAGCCCTAATCTGGACCTAACGCTTTAAATTTAGGTTAAAACGAATTTGAAACAAAATAGACTAGTATTATGCGACTCCTAATTTATTTGGTTACGTCTAGAAAAATTGTTTTAAACTGTTTTTCGTGTTTGAGACCTAACCTATACCAAACCTAGCCCTAATCTGGACCTAACGCTTTAAATTTAGGTTAAAACGAATTTGAAACAAAATAGACTAGTATTATGCGACTCCTAATTTATTTGGTTACGTCTAGAAAAATCGTTTTAAACAGTTTTTCGTGTTTGAGACCTAACCTAGACCTAACTTAGCCCGAATCTGGACCTAACGATTTAAATTCAGCTTACACGAGTCCGAAACAAAATAGACTATTATCATGTGATTCCCAATTTGTTCACTGAGATCTAGACTGGGTCCAGATTAGATGCGAATTAAATCCGAATTCTGTCTAGGTTATGTTTGTTGCCACATTACCGTGTATATGTCGAGATGAGTACAAAAAATGTTTAAAATTGTTTTTTTACTTTTGAAGTCGAACCTAGACCTAACACACACCTAACTAGACCCTTCTGTAACCGATTACCAGATAAATTTAATTCATTAAAATGCATTTATACTTCATTTTGGAAATCGGCGTGTGAACGTCAAAAATTATCGAAGAATTGTAATGGTGCTACAGTTATACTCGGCAGTGTTGTTGGCGATGGACCTACCAGTTGAACAGTGGTCAAGTGCTTCTTCCACCACAAATACTTTTGGTACTCGGGTCCCATCGCGGACACAAGGTAGTACAGGTACATGATCACGTGGACGGCGTTGTTGATTAGGTTGCCGAGGGTGCCGTGGCCGCCGGCGATGAACTTCACGCAGATCCACGTCTCCAGTGGTGTCAACGAGTGGTGGTACAGGTGCAAGAAGGTCACTTGGCTGTCTTTCTTGCGCAGCGTGAAGAACATCTGAAATCGCGATTTCAAAGATGATCGAGCAAATCATGAAAATGCATTGTAGATTTGTTTGAAGAATTTTTGTATAGGTCTGAGCGAATGGCTGGGGAGACCAGCATTGATTGCAGTCTTAATCAGTGTCAAAGATCTGACACTGTCTATGGTGTTAAATAAGGTAGCTGATCTGACATAGTTTAGGGTTTCTATGAGTGTAAAATACTAGACACAGTTTAGTATTGATTGTAAGAATGATTTGTGTCTAAGTCAATATGAAAGACCTATCAAAGTCTGTAGTCTAAAACAGTCTGAAAGATCTGATGCAATATATGGTGTTGCACAATGTAGATGGTCTAACACAGTCTAGAGACTAAAACAGTGTCTATGGTTAAACATAGTTTATGCACTAAAAGAGTGTAAAAAATTAAACACAGTTTACAATCTGAATCAGGTTGAAGTTTAAGAATGACTAGAGTCTAACTACAGCACAAAAGATGTAACACAGTTTATAGTATAAAATAGTGTAAAAGACCTATCACAGTCTGTGGTGTTAAACATTGTAAAAGATCTAACAGAGTCTAGAGACTGAAACACTGTAAAAGAGCTAACACAGTCTGCAGTCAAAATAAGATGCAAGGGTTAAACATAGTTTGCAGTAGAAAAGAGGATAAAAGATCTAACACAATCCGAAGATTGAAACTGTATTGGAGATATAAGATAGAGTACAGTCAAAACTAGTTACAAGGGTTAATCACAGTCTATAGTTTAAATCAGTGTAAAAGATCCAGCACAGTCCACAGTATAAAACATTCTAAAAGATCAAACACAATATACAGTCTAAAAGGGTGTAAAAGATTAAACAAAGTTTAAAGTGTAAATCAGATTAAATTCTAAAAATGACTTAGAGTCTAACTCAGTATAGAATATATAACAAAGTTTACAGTCTAAAATCAATGTAGAAGATCGAACATAATTTGCATTCTAAATCAGGTCAAAGTCTAAGAATGACTAGAGTCTAAATCAGTCTAAGAGATCTAACACAGTGTGCAATCTAAATCAAGTTAAAGTCTAAGAATGAATAGAGACTAAGTCACTATGAAAGATCTAACAAGTCTGCAGTCTAGATCAGTGTAAAAGATCAGACACAGTAGTCTACAGTCTAAGTAAATGTATAAGATCAAACACAGTCTAAATCAGGTTAAAGTCTAAGAACAACTGGACTCTAATTCAATATAAAATCTCTAATACACTCTACAGTCTAAAATAATATAAAAGATCTGGCACAGACTATGATGTTAAACAGTGTAGACGATCTAACACAGTCCAGAGATTAAAACAGTGTGAAAGATTTAACACAGTCTAGAAACTAAAACAATGTGGTTCTACCAACAAAGGACTAACACACTCTGCAGGTTAAATTAATAATGTCACAGGTTCGGCACAATTTATAGTCTAAAACAGGATAAAAAGACTAACATGACTGCTTCTTTAAAATAATTTCTATAGTATTTATGAATTATTATCCAAATTGGATCTCAGATTGGGTCTCAGATTGGGCCTCAGATTGGGACATATTCAATCAGCTGTACCAGAACGTCAAATTAAAACAGGACACACAGTACCTTTTAACAGAGCTGAAGTCGTAGCAAATATCAAAAGATGCTTTCTGAGAAAGTACAGAGAAATATTGTAGGTAACTAAGACCCCTACTAACGCAAGAGCAATGAAGAACGTCAGTGGCAGAACATGAACAAACTCTACTATGACATCACCAGGCACACATCAGTGACAGCGTGTCTTTGGACCCCTGCAAAGGTAGCTGCAATGGTTGCGAAACGTTGAGAAAATAATTTAATAAGAGTCGTTTAGTCGATGACGACAATCTCTCCTTAATTCCCAGTTTAAGATTAGTAATAATTAACCTATGAAAATGGGGATTTGCATAAAGATCCTAATCATTAGATTGGCAATGCTAGATCACATGGATATGCACAGATTGAGAAACACACATTCACGTGTAACTGCTTTTGCAAAAGACATTGCTAGTGGATCTGTTCGAGTTGGAAGTTTGTTTCTAACACAATTCGTAGGACTGTTTTTATAAGTGTATCTCTTCACCAGATAAATTTGAATCGAGTTAGACCTAGAATTAGAAACGAATTTAGCTCGAATTTAGAAAAAAAGTGCAGCGAGCAGAAGAGGAAAAAGTGAAACAGCTTCTCTCGGAGCAGAAGGAGGGGCCATTGCCGAAATCGGTCGTTTCTGCTTCGGCGATTCTGCCGATGAAGAAATTCTTGGAAAATCGGGGCCGAAAAATTTTTCCACCGTTTCGCAATTCGTTCTGCTTACCGTGTCAGCGAATTCCGTGAACTTGCTGATGAAGTACCACCAGCAGAGGTTCGCCATTCGTAGCGCGGACGGGTTCTGCGAGTAGTCCACCGGTTGACACTTGTAGCTGTAGTCGAGCAGCCAGCCGGACATCAGATGCTGTGGAGAACAAGTTCACCGTCAATTCAATGTCACTGCGAGCTTTGCTCTTTCGTAATGCACCGTGCACAAAGTTAGGCAAATTCAATTAGGTTCTATTTCGATTACATTGTCATTCAATTACGTCCTATTTCAATTACATTGTAATTCAATTACGTAATTCAAACCTTTCAGTTAATTCATTTACTGATTATTCTAATCACCTGTGTAATTGAAATACAATTTGATCGAAGTGCAATGTAATTGAAGTACAATATAATTGAAATAGGCTGTAATTGAATTACAATGTAATTGAAATACAAGGTATTTGAAACACAATATAATTGATATGTAATGTAATTGAAATACTATGTAATTGAAGTGCAATGTAATTAAAGTACAATGCAATTAAAATACGTTGTAATTGAATTACAATGTAATTGAAATACGTTGTAATTGAAACACGATATAATTAAAATGAAATGTAATGTAATTGAAATACGTTGTAATTGAAACACAATATAATTAAAATGAAATGTAATGTTATTGAAATACGTTGTAATTGAAATATAATGTAATGTAAATACGTTGTAATTGAAACACAATATAATTAAAATGAAATGTAATGTTATTGAAATACGTTGTAATTGAAATATAATGTAATGTAAATACGTTGTAATTGAAACACAATATAATTAAAATGAAATGTAATGTTATTGAAATACGTTGTAATTGAAATATAATGTAATGTAAATACGTTGTAATTGAAACACAATATAATTAAAATGAAATGTAATGTAATCGAAATACGTTGTAATTGAAATGTAGGGTAATAGAAATACAAGAAATTAACCTACAATATAATTGAAATGAAATGTAATGTAAGTGAAACACAATGTAACTGAAGTGCGATGTAATTGAAACATAATGTAATTGAAATACATGGTAATCGAAATGCAAGTGTAATCGAAGTGTGCGTTAATTGAAATACAAAGCGGCTGATGTGGAATGTAATTAAATTCCAGTGTAATTGAAATGTAATGTAATTGGAACGCAATGCGATTGAAATACAGTTCTTCGAATTACAGCCGAGAACTTTGAAGAGTTCAGCAAACATTTGGCGGAGAAATAATGAAAAAATATGATTTCTGTGAATTTTGAATATTTTGCATATATTGTTTTACTTCGACAAGGAACGCGGCATATAGCAACAATTCGTATCGAACCGTGATTTATAATACCAGTGATCGTCGTCCCGTCGCGAGACAGAAACGAACGAACTTGTGCGAAATAAAAATATGCGACGTTGCCAGTCAAGGCCTGCGACAGTGACTCTTCGTGGCCGAGCAGTTAATTACGGCGGAGATCGATATCGCGTGCCGCGGTAATAACGGCTGCCGGTAAAATAGCAATCGTGTCGAAGACGTGCACACTAGGTGAAAGGTATCGAAACGGTACCTGCGCAAGAAATTTTCGTCCTCCTAATCCGGATACCAAACTTTCCTCGAACCAAACGTTTCCTACTTCGTCTTCTTCCCATTCAGCTTGCAACTTTCTACAACGGTGATCGATTACGCGTGCACAGCATCGATCCTTTGTGACAATTTGGCCTGGATCGACGGCCGAGAGAGGATCGGAACAGGATCGACAGCAGATCGAGGGTAGGGATCTCGAGTAAACGATCGAAAATTGCGAAAGCGGCGGCTGGCTAATGCTTTTTAGATTCCTCGCCTCGGTTGCGAAAACTTCGTTCTTGTTTTCTTTGGTTTCTGAAGCAGGACGATTTTTATGATCGATCTGACGCGAATGTTTCGCTCCGTTCAAACGGTTCAGCAAATTTTTGTATCTTTGCTTTCACATTTTTTTATTTTTATAAATTCGTTTTAATGTATTAATTCGAGATCATTCGAAATAAAACTAGTCTTGCCATTATTATAAAGCAAACAGGTCATTTTTAGTCCTCGGTGGGTTTAGTGTTAATTTTTCATAGAAAAAATGTTTATTTTTATTTTATTTTTCTATTTCGTATCTTTTTATTTATGTATATTTCTTAATTTCATTTTATTTTCTTACTTTGTATTCTTTTTGATTTATTTTATTTTTGTATCTTCTATTTCTTTCGTTCATTTTTTATTCTTATTTTATTTTTCTACGTTGTTTATTTTTTATTTTCATTTTATTTTTGTTCTTTGTATTTTTTATATTTCTGGTACGCACTAAGTAAAACAACATTGCAACATAAACAATGTGTTATACGCTTCACTGTAATACTAATAAATTTTACACGAATGTTAACGATACGTTAAGTTTCCTAACTTTTGTCGGTGAGTGTATGTTACTAATGACTTCTCAGTTTTGACGTTCCCCTCATAGCTTGGGTAATATTTGAGTTACGACCCAGTAATACCCAATTCGTAACTCAGTCACGCGTTTAACGGGTACTCGCAAATTGCGAGAGCTGTTACTGGATTACACATGACCGTTGCTGCAGATAGGACGAGTTGCTTTTGTTATGAACTCGAAGCTTCCAATTTAGCGGCGAGTTTTCGGATAGAATCACTACAAAGTCGATAAGGCTATGGAGTAGTGCTCACTCGAATTAGCAAATTTTTCTAGAAGTTCTTTCCCAGTGCTCGGGCACGGCTCGATAAAGCAGAAGAAAAAAACAATCAGCAAAAAATGAAGATATCAAAATTAGTAATTCGAGCCTTAGCTGTTCAGACGTAACACCATTGGATAGCTGAGATTCTCCCGATCAAATTGAGTCCAAACACGATGCAAATTGAACCATCAAAATTATTTTCAACATTTCAAAAATGATTTTTTATCATGCATCGAGTCCGTAAAACTTCTACCATCTACATCGTGTTTGGACTCATTTTAATCGGAAGAATCTGAGCTATCCAATGGTACTGAACCTGAGAAGCGAAGACTAAAATTACTGAATTTTTCTTATTGCAGAATCATAATGTAACATTTTAATCATATCGAATATTAAACGCCATTCAAATATTTGGCGATGAATACACGAAAATCCGTGGTTTAAATGTACACACCTGTGGCGAACAATCGTGTTATTAAAATATCGATGATCAGGAGCCGACAGATTACGCCAGATAGATCGCTATAGTTTCGTAGCGTTGGATCCTTTCACCGAATGTCGGGCCAATTATCGGGCAAACAAACATTGCATCCTCCTTGGAACGTAAAAAGACATTCGATGGGGAAACAGAAAGGTTCCGCGAAAACTGCAGACGAAATCACGGTTGCAACAGATCGCGACTAAAAGCGCGTTGTTTCACAAACAATTCGAAATTTTTAGAGCCGTTGAGCCACCGTGTTGCATCGCCGGCGAGCGACAGGGGGTGCGAAAACCGAGGCGTAACTTTCCAGATATGTTGCGGAAACAGGAGAACGCGAAAGAAGCTAGGCTTTCGAACTGCGCTTGCTTAATCGATTTGTTCACTCGTCGCTCGTTAAAAGCGAAAGCATCCTGTTTACAATTTCCCGCGAACCGTTCCCTCGCGATCCGATCGTTTGCACCCTGCGCAGCTCCAGTCGGACTCTTTCAACGCACGGCGGTCTGGGAACCCGTTTCCACCGGCCAAAATCGTTTCAGCGTTGCGCAGTGGTCTGAAACGCCGCATTTTTTGGTCAAAATTCAATTTTCAAATGATTAGTTGAATTATTATTTTTTGAAAGAACTTCTTCTTTTCATAGAAAGATATGGTTATCCGACGACGGGTCACTTTTGACCTGTAGCTGAATTTTTACTATACCTGCTCTGCGCCGAACTTTCTGGTTATTCAATAATGTTTATAACAATATGGAATGGTGAGAAGTTTGTTTAAAAAAATATGAAATTTCGTAAACGTGTTTTCAAGTTTTGGGTCAACGATGACCCGGAGTCTGCTACACGATGGTCGAACAATTCTTCGATGACAAAATCGTGAAATCGAAAGCGAAACACATTACTTTAATTATTCGTGCACGCGAACGGCTGTATTTCGGTTGTTATTAACAATCAGACGTTTACAACAATTGTAACTTCGAGAAGGTCGAACTTGCCGCTTCTCGCGCGTGAAAGTTGAAGCTGTTGCCACCATTCTAGGTTCGCGCGATGTTTAAAAAACAAGCGTCCGAAAGTTTACGACAATTGTTATTTTTGCGAAGGTTTACAAACAAATGTTCACGAACGTTGGACTGGCGACTCGTTTCACGCGAATGTTGTAACCGTCGGGAAAACAATAACGTTCGTTTCGAACGCTACTTCTTGCTACTTTCGAACTTGCGCGATTTTCAACAAAATTTCGCTTTCCTACGAAACTGGAATGTACAAAATTGCAGGCGAACTGTAAAAGATAAGTTCGAGAGGGTTTCGCTAGCTCGCGGTGCCGCTGGTTTATTTATAACATTCGCTGTTGCGGATAGAATAATTTATTTGGAAAGTTGTTCGCACGTTTTCGATTGAAACGGAATGTTTTCGCGGGAACCGTCTAACGATAGTTCGTGTTTCTGCGAGCTGAGATAGTGGGAAGTCGGAGTGCAGCAGGGTGCAGCAACGCCGGCCCGAGTAAATGTCATCGTTATCGGGAAATATCGTTAATGGCAGAAGCTGGCTTGTCGAATCGAAACGGCGGGAGTTTCGCAAGTGGGCTCGCGCGGCGAACCAGTCGAAAGTGAGCCAAGTCCGCTCGGACTCGGCCGAATACTGGTTCAAGGTGGCCGCTGCGAACAACGGACGATCTAGCGGGTCTTATAATGGCGAGACCAGAAAACGGTTCAAAAAGTCGGTCGTTCACCGTGTACCTTGGTCCATCGGTTTCTCTTTTCTTTTAGGTCCGGGATCGGGCACGTTGCCCCATTTTCTCGGGCGACCTTAAAACCAGAAATTCGCCTGACACACAAAAAACAGGCGATCGTTTCGGACGCTAATTCATTCGAGTTTCAGTCGATTAGGAACAACGAACGGCGGGAGGAGATAATTACGGACGAAAATCTTCCGTGGATAATAATGGTAC